TTATGACTGCAGGTTAATCATAGAATGCGACTATACTATTCCATATCAGGATACAGAAGCAACGTTGACGGTAGTTAGTAGTTCCTACAAACCCGTTCAGATTTTAATTTAAGCACCTGAGTGAAACGCAACTAAATACCGCTAACCAGTGGCCTAATTTGTAAATCTTGTAGTTTAAGGGCATGAAGGCAACACGTTAAAAGCCGTAGATACCAAAAGATGTAGCGAAATCACAGGGTGTAAATTATACAGTCGAAGGCAATTAGTAGGATGCATTTCTGGTTTTTTTGTGTACGAACAACGATGGTGTGGGAAGATTCTTGTTTCTGAAGTAAATAAGGGGCAGGATTCTAACTTGTAGAAATAACAACATTGTTAAGGGTTTTCGCAGAAAAAATAGGTTCTCCAACACACAGAGAATATGACCAATTTAAAGTGCCGTTTATCCATCGAAGACGTACAGTTATTAGTAAGCCATATCAAATTCACAGAAAGTTAAAAACGCAAGTTTATTTGAGAAAGTTTAAAGGTAAATTTCATTTGTGCTTTCTTCGTTTATTGTATCTGGCTTTATATTTACAGACATCGAACATTTGTGTTAAAAAATTCAAAAAATGAATACGGATCTTCACCGAATGTAATTTGTGTGGTCACTGAAGGTATTTGCGCCCAAAATCCAGTCTGACTCAATCTAAAACTGGAATTTTGACCGTGAAACGGAAAACACGTCTTACGTAAAATGTTGCCTACATCTGTTAGTTGTCCTAAAGACGTCGTTCTTTCAAAATCATCTGAAGAAACTGTAACTTTCTACATACAAGAAGTTGGTCCCATTTCTCCTGTGAAGAAATTTCCCAAAAATGGTACAGGCATCAAAAAGCAGTTGAAAACTGCACCATGCTTCAACTGTACTGAACACTTCATAAACATCGGTGAGTTTCTTCTTTCTAAAAAGAAGTGAATATGCTCGGTGCAAAGCGGTCAAAATTTAATTAAGCAACTCTAGACTTACCGATAAATTAGTGTTTTATTTGAAACAGTACATAAACTGCATAAACCTAGTGAACCTGATAGCTTCCCCTTCTTCAAGCACATTTGGGTTATGTGCAATTATTGATAATATGGATATCAAATCAATAATTACTCGTGTATCCGTTCGAGTAACTACCTTCTAATTTATACCGATATCAAAATTCTGTACGTTGAAATGTACAACAATTCCTGAAAACGGCTGAAACATTTCGTGGCCAAAGATCAGCACCCTCGCCTGGGCAAAGTTCCTGGACACTGCATGGCAATCCCACTTAGATAGGCCACTTAATCGCCCACAGGCCGCAGGCAACCCTTAGGCGTCAGATAATGAGACTGAAAGATCCAGCAAGAAACATCTGGCATCGTCCAAAGGATCTGGTATAGTTGCGAACAAAGCAAATGCGCCGGACTAACTGAAGGCCTTCTCAAGACGCAAACTGCCGAACACGCAGTAGCAATGTGGCAAAATGATGCCGATTTCCAAGTTGCAGCTCATTCAAAGCGACCCGACCACACGTTCAAATTTGATGTGGCCGAAATTCTCGCAAGAAGTGACAATCGGGTATCGTTTGCACTAATCTTAAAAGTGCCAGTTATGAAAGGTGACTTTATCTTTTTGGACGTGTTTCGCGCATCACAGTTTGAATTCTGAGCATACAACTTCCGACTTTCGTAAAGCACGGGAAGACTACGGCTGTTTGGCACGCAAAGGCCCTTCATTTAGGGGTGTACAAAAGTATCACTTTTTGAGAAGTACAGCTGTTAACATTGCCTAATTACTGAACACCTCTTAAATAGGGTTGGTAATTAATAGTTTCTAGCACTAGGCTAAGCTGTGAGAATGTAACATGACAGCAGGTATTAAAAGAACTCACTAATACAGTAAACGCCCTGCAGAAAACGATAGGGACTACAATTTTTTATTAAATACGCGGATTCATCTCACAGACAGATGTCATCGATTTCGTGAGCTCTCTGTTCAACCAGACGCTCGCTTGTTATTTATTACTCTCTTTCTCATTCTAATTCCGTCTTTGTCCATTGAAAACTTCTACATTTTGTTGTTAAAAGGTACGGCATTAACTACATAAAAGTAGTTACAATTAATCATAAAATTGAAGGCTGAATTCGAATGCTTTTTTTCAGAACGACGATTTACCGCAGAAAAGCATGAACATCAATCCGCGTGTCGTGTAAGCTGAAGCAGTTTTAAATTCGTATGAAAATTAAACCTGATTTAGCGTCAGAATCGAAAAGTTGGGTTGCGTGTCATTTCTATTAACAACGCTGGGTCCGAATAAAATCTGAATAAATACTATGTACACATAGAAGACGAAGACGAATGTGCAGTCAGTCTTCATTTATTTAAAAAGATTATAAAAAGGGGACAATCGTGCTTCCGTAACACCTCAAATTATCTTCTAACTATGACATTTCCGGTTGCGAAAATTCCCATCACAGAAATCCGAAGAGTAATTGGCGAGCATACGTATACTTTCAATAAATTCTCAGCAGGCCATTACATTTACATGGGAGGGGGGGTAAAGCGTCAAAGGTAAAATTGTAGGTAAATTACGTTCAACGTTACAAGCAAATTAGTTTAGGGGATAGGGTAGGTGGTAGGGTAGTAACAAGCGGCTAATTAAGC